GTCTAAATGTCACAGTCCGGAGTGACCTTCTCCATGTAAGCGGCTGTGGCTCTCCGGGATTGAGGCTGAGATATGGGAGGGCCCCTGGACCCCTGTAGGGAGTAGGAAAGCTCTGTGTCAGGGGGAGGGCAGGAGGTTCTGTGCAGCCTTCAGAGGATGGAGCAGTGACGAGTATGTCAGGTGACATGTTCCAGACTTGGACAGGAGGGCGCACGGGGGAAGACCAGGGGAAGGGTGCTGTCATGCAGAAAAGTGCTGGGACTGGACAGAAATGGCGACACCCAGAGGAGTCAGCTCTCAACAAGCCTCGGAGCATCCCCAAATTGTATTTGATTCTCATTGTTGCCTTCCTTCTTTAGGCCTGCTTTCACTACCTGGGCCTCAGGGTCCTAATTTTGTCACCTGAGAGACATCATGGAGAAATGAGAAGAGAAATGAATGAGGAGTCAGAAGGTGGGCCGCAGGCTGGGATGGGTGGCAACAGCGTGGGCTCTAGATGACTCCAGACCCGGGTCTAGTCTCTCTGTCGCTTACTAGCCATGTGATCCTGGGAAAGTTACCAAGCGCTATGACCCAAGCGCTATGACCCTCGGGCTCTTCCTCTGCGAAGGCAGTGGGTTGGTGAGCCCTGTCTTGTAGGACTGCGGGAACGGATGGGATGTGTGGCAAACACCTGGCACAGTGCCTGGTATACATGGGAACTTTGAGGACTGGCAGTTATTTCTAGGATTGTTTTGATCCCAGACCTTCCACTCTCTCCTCTGGGATTTTGTTTGTTTGTTGTCCAGGTCATATTAGAGAACACGCAGCTCAACAGGACACGAAATAACTAATGAGCCAAAAAGGATGTTTCACAAATGAAACTCAATAAATTCCCAGCTAGAGGATATATGTGAAAATTCGGATGAGGGACAGTCTCCCCAGCTGGATGGAACACAGAGCTCCTAGAAACAGAGTCAAGGACCGACTCCTTGCCTCCCTCCAAGCTGCTCTTCATCCAGACCACTACTTCCTTTCATTTCACCCCACCAAAATCTAGCCCTTCATTACAATTGGCCAATTAAACTCAATTAAGATTAACACCTAACTTATGCTGTAGGCTCTGGCTCTCCCAGGCCTGGGAGAGGAGTGCCAGGCCACTGACTTCTGGGTATCAGTTCAAAGGAATGTCACCATATTTCTCTGAAATCCTTAGAGATGATGGATGTCAAACTCCTCGTTGTTCACTGTGTTCAACTGCAATGCGACAAGAGCCCAGGACACCTTCCCTTCCTGCCCAGGTGGAGATTTCTGTCTGGTTACCCGAGATCCCTAAGAAACTCTTCAGAGCAATTTTCCATTTCAGACTTGCCCCTCAGCCCTAAGACACACTGTGAGTCTGGCCAT